TGCTGATACGTATAACTGTAAGCAACCGAGAACGTGCAAAAAATGCGTAGGCAGCAGATTTAAGCGCTTTATGGGCAACTAATCAGGCGAGTGTTTGAAAGGAAGAGCATAAACGATAACAGGATTACTAACAGTTATACATATGTTACTCAAAATTGCAACAATTTAGAATTCTGGAGAAGCTGGCGGTTATGTTAAACGAGTTTTATAAAAAAAAAAAATATTGTAACATAAGCGCTTACTTTGGAGCCAACAAAGAATTATTTAGAAAGCGGTTTATATTAGCTGTTACGTTCACATAAGAGATCACAAAGTTTGCGACGCGAATGTTGGGCAACTGTCTTTTTTTTACGCTTTGCCAAGCAACGGTCGCCATTTTTATTATTTTAAGTTTTCTGCGCTTCGTTGTTTCAGCATGAACTGTGACGTAAAGCAAGGAAAGTTATATGTGAATTACTGATGAACTTTATTCTAAAATGTAGTCAACGAAGATCTTCCGGCACGTCCAATCGGAGCTTGTTGCAACCATGACAGGCGATTGCGTTCTAAAAATTTGTCTGATGAAAAAAGGCTCATTATTAGGTCGGATGATCTGTTTGTAGCCTACAGAAACACTGGTTTTACCTCAAAATTTAGTTTCGAGGTCGGTTAAGGAAAGAATGAAGTAATTTTTTCATTCAAATTCAAAACACTTTTGAAATAAATATACCAAATACGCATAGTAAGTCTCGATACCGCCATTTTTGTTAAGGTTTGAGGAAAAATTTGTAAGTATTTTATACGGTATTCCTGGCCAGATAATGTTTTCCTGGTCCACATACTATAATACCTATATGCCAAGCCGTCCTCAAGGTAACTCCGAGTCTTTGTAACTAATTGAATTTTGCGAATGGCAAGTTTGAATTTAGAAAAGTACTGTGAATATTTTTTATTGCGCTGCTAGTACAGACTTTAGCGAAGCATGCTGGCCAACTCCTTAAAAAAAAGGTCTTCCTTCAAGTTCACTCAACCAAACTTTATGAATTTTCTAATCAGGTATTACTTTCAACGTAGAAGCGAAGGATTAAAAAAAATCGAAATATACATATAAAAGAACTTAAGTATATTCAACTAAGTCAAATAAAGAAGCTCCTGCAATAAGTTCGAAACAAAACATTTTCACATAAATCAAAAGCAAAGGGTTGGATGAAGGTTTGAAAGAAAAATAGTAAACGAAACAGATAGCAAGGAAAAGGCGGCTAAATCAAAGAAAATACGAACATTATTTATGGCAAGTAGTTTTCGGAATAGCGAAAGATAAATTCAATGTCTAACAAAGAGTGACAGAAAAAGGAGTAGGAGAAACACACTTTGCACAAAAAAAAACCGGCGAGAAAATGCAAAATATCGTAAATTTAGTGAAGGACGATAAGAATTGCCAACAAAGTACAAACATATATGGCACCCTGTATATTGAGCACAGCAAGTTATGATTAAGAAGGAAATAAGCGAATGAATGTATAATTTTATTTTGACTAGAAAAGTAACCGTAAACTGCATGAAATATTTAAGCACACAAACATCGTGCCCAAATAGACCATGTACACCTAACATGCAACAGCTATGAGTTAATCCCGGTATGCAGGAGTACAAGGAGTAACAAAAGGCGCATACATTTTAAATGGAAACCATGAACAAGGTGGCTGGTCAATTTATGGGCACGAATGTATTAACTATGTATGCATGTGTGTGCGTATGAATTAATGTACGAGTGAACAAAGCGGCAGCTACTCATTTATTAATACCATTACCGTGCAGCCAGCAACAACAACTGACACAACCGACAGTAGTTGAGTAACGGTAGCTACAACAACGAGCAAGGGTGCTAAAGAGTAAATAAAAAGGGGTGTTAAAAGTGGGTGGTGGTCGGTCCGACCAGGCAGGCAGTGACTAAAGTGCCGCACATGAACAGACCGCAAAGCCAAAGCGTTGGGCCACAGCACGGTTAAAAATGGACAAAGCTGAAAAGCGGTCGCCTGTGCGTCAGTGTGAGAATGCATGACACAAATGTGTGTCAGAACGCAAACAGACTGAAAGTGCGCACACACATATGTAAGTGGCGGTGTGTGAGAGGTGCATGTGTGTGTGTGTGTGTGTCGCAGGCGCTAACGAGCAAGTGCTGCGTGGCGAATGCGGTTGTGCTGCACGCCACCAAACAAAAGCCTTGCAACGGTTGTTTCAACGTGGCACGGGCGCCGATTGCATGCAAATAAAGTGCCGTTATGGCTGTGTGTGCGCGTATAACTGGAAGTTTGCCTGATGGGTGTGTGTATTTGGTTAACAAGCTCGCAGCCACTTTACCAGCGCATGTGCATATGTGTGCCGATAGGTGTGTATGCGGATAGTGTTCTATTTGTCATTATACATAAGTAATGCATGTCTGCTGTGCTTGTTAATACACACACACACACTTATTTTAGATATGTTTATAGCCATAAACTAAATAAATAACAAAAAAAAAAACATTGGCAGCGAAATATTAACAAAATAAGGCGACAGTTTACGCCCGACACTCCACTTGCCATACTAACGGTAGTGAAAGCAATGACCGATGCAGTGACAGGACGAAACAAGTGCGCGCACCGACAAGCAAACTCAGCAAAATTATTAATAATAGCATAGAAGAAGACGCAAACTACAAGTAAAAGTGCGATTCTTGCTCACTGATAATTTCATATGAACGCCTTTCACAGGCGCAAGCGAGCAACAGACAATTGCTGTGTGCCACCGAAAAAACAGCCACAGCTTATTTGCATGGTTTTGTGTAAAAATTATATATGCTGGCTGAAATGAAGGCATAAAACACACACGCACAGGCGAAAGGCGAACTTACAAAGGATTTATGAAAATGTGTGAAAGGATAATGGCGTGCTGTATGCATTTTTTTTCAGCTTATCGCTTTTGCTGCTTTATGACACCATTTCTATTTGTTGTGTTTTTTTTTGCGCCATTGTGTGTGTGTGTGCGCGTTAGACAGGTCTAAAGCGGGTGAAGGTATTCCCTTTTCCCTTTTCCAATTTTCATTTTATATGTTTGTTTTCTTTTTTTTTTCTGCGGTAGCCATATTTTTGCTCTGTAACTACCCGCTGTCTTGCCTGTCTTTTTTACCGGCGAGTGCAGCGTTTTTGCTTGTTGTCTCGTTAGCTCCATATTCACTTGCCACGTTCTTTGTTTTTTTTTGGTTAATTTTCCGGCCTTGATGGTAGCGCGAAATTATTTATGAGCCTACACTTTTTGCTGTATCACTTCGTATTTATATCCCCATTTTTTCATACCATAATAATATGTATAAAAAGGGACTTTGGCGGATAGAAGAGTTAAAGTTACGGATTTAGCGGCATGCCATTGATTTCATAAGAGGCTTTAAGAGCATGTCAGTAGACTATTTGAAAGTCCGTACGGACAAACTAACGGCCATTTGGACTTTTAGCAATAGAGTGCGAATATATAGTAATCAAGTATCTTTTTGAATTATAGCATATTACAATTTTATTACCTTTTTAGGATTACATAAGATTAGACAGATTAATGCAGACTTGAAATAAATTTTCATATGATTTGTTTGGCACTTGTTGACTCTAGCCAGATTACTAACTGACCAACACAAGCTTACACAATGGAGACATAAATGTATATATGTGAACTGCTTAAAGACTCAACATCGATTTAAAAAAAAAAAAAAATACTTCCTAAGCGCTTCAAAATGTAGTGCAGTTGGATTTTTAAATGGTTATCTGGTTTAACGAGAAGACGTGTCATCTTTCTTTTATTTAGAAGACCTCTTAGCACTAAGTCCGTCCCGAAGCAACTGCAACAGTCACTACCTTTCTATAGATAAATTTATTGAAACTTAAGCACAGCGGAGTTAGAGATATCTTGCTTCAGCTTTTAAGTTCCGTAACTGCAATTGAAAACGTTTCAACATAAAAGCCAGAAAAAACGCTAACTTCAACCGCATTCAAATTATAATACCCTTCACAGCTGCATTTCTTATAGCACAGGAATTGGTCAGTTTATATTGCAGCTACATGCTATAGTGAACCGATCCCAATAATATGTTCGAAGATAATACCGTTGCTTTAGACAATAATCTGTGCCGAATTTCGCCAAGATTTCTTGTCAAATGAATAAATTTTCGGTAAATGTATAGTTTAAGTCCCTCAACGAAGAAGGCCTCTAAAATCAAATAATTTTTTAATCGTCTTATTTTGACGTGAAGTTTACAAAGCCGTGAGCGGAAAGGCATATAATATATAATATAATAATTAATGTACATACATATGCATATACATGTATGTATTTATATATAAAATTATATTTAACACACTTTGCACATATTTTTCAAGTAACTTAGTTGTTGTTGTTTTTGTAGCGGCAGAGTTCGGTAGAATTCAGATTACTTAGCTGTAATTACCAGTTCAGCGAGTTAAACATTTTCTTGTGAAAAACAAAAATACTGAAGAAATGTAACAGTTAGGATTTCTTTTACGCAGCAATATGACTGTATGGACGAATAGAGTGGATCGTCAAACTTCTTTCCGCACTGCCATTCAAAAAAAAACCCTGATCGGTCCAATACCGGGGTGTCAAGGGTACTTTAGTATCGAACTATTTTCAGCACGCAAAAGAACTAAATTTTCCAATTGGAAAAGACTACTTGTAAGTGAGCTTGGATTTGTGCTTGCTTTGACTTCTTTATGGGCAACCTGACTTCAGAATGTTAAAATCTATTAAAATAAAATATAAAAAAACCGCCAAAATAAGCTGCTTTTCAGAAATTTCGTGTTCAATTCCACTAAGCTATCGACATAAGTAATGTATGTATATATTTGTGCTTTTCCTATAATTTTATTTGAATCAGCGCACTTCTTAAAACTTTACACTCCAACGCTTGGAGCAAATTGTCGTGCAACACAAAATAAGCGCCTTTGGAAATATTGTATTCAATCCATTAAGCCTACCTTGTCAGTTTAACCCTCCAACTGTGGGTGTAAGCACTTCGCAAGAAATTCCAGTTAGAAATTTTCGCGTTTCCGCTTGCTTTAAATGTGTTGTTGTTGTATCGGAAATATAATATTGTTATTTGCACTGTTTCGCTTTTCACTCGAAAACATTTTTAGACATTTTTTCATTCGCATTAGAGCTTGACATTCGCTGGTAATCCTCTTTTAACCTTTTAGACGCACATATCCAACACACAGCGAATAAGTTCGATTTGTTTTGTATGTGTGTGTGGGTGTGTGTACATTTGTGCTCTAAGCTTTTGTATGTACGAATATGCGGATGTGTGTGTGTGTGTTGCTGCTAGTATTTGTGCGCGGAAATGTTGGCAAATTTGAAACGGTACACACACGGGCTTTAGCGTTTTGACAGTCGAAATTTTTTTTATTCCTTTTTCGCTTCTAAATATTTGTATGTACGCTCTTGCGCCTTAAAGTGCGCTTTGGAATTTTTTTCAGTAAGTTGTTATACTTTTATAATACTTCAAGGATTATTAAGGACCCTGGCATACACATTGGCACAATTTACATTCACGACTGCTGCGTGTCGACTTGCCACAGACGCTGCGTGTTTGCAAAAATCATTTCAAATTTCACCGGAAATCACTTTTTTCTGTGAATTTTTATTCGATTTCTAGCTAAAGCCAGCGGAGCACTTGTTGTATTTAATAAGTTGTTGTTGCACTAGCATTTACTACACATTTTTCTGTTTGACATAATTTCATTCGAAAAGTTCTGCTGGCATTTTCACAACACTCGGCTTAACTTGCCCACTTTATGTATGTGTGTGTGTTTGTTGTAATGTTTGCGAATTTGCACTCACTTGTTTGTTGCACTTAAATTTTCTGCGACAACGCACACTAAACAGCTTAGCTCGCAAATTTCTATCGTGCCACAACCGGGTTAATTCACGCACGCAACGACGACCGCTCCTTCGCCAAACGAACCTTTCATTGAAACCGCGCCGACCTATGCGTGCCACTGGGACTTCTACTCAAGCTGTAAACGTATTCGTGTGCTTTAAGTTTGCTTGCTACAATTTCGTCTGCGCTACAACTTGGCTTCGCCACCAAAATAAAGAACAAAAAAATATATCGCGTTTGTTTGCTGATTGTACCGTTGTACGTATGACGCGTGCAACGAAGAACCCGTCAACGACACCAAATCGCTTCAATATCCCGGCAACACTGAATTTCGAATTTTACTATGAAATGCAGCCAACCAGCAGACGAACGAAGCGGTCGCCGCAAACGACCAGCGAGCCGAACGACGTACGAGCCAAGCGCGAGCGAAGAACATTACAGCAAGGTAACACACATTGTCACTAACCTACATTGATACGCACGCACAAAGTTGTCTATTCGTCCAATTCGAACTGCTCCAGCGTTCGGTTGCACACTACAGCAACAAAGAGCACTGATACTCCAGCCAATTCACCAGTCGTGTGTGTGCCTGTTTGCTGCTGTTAACTGAGCTGTTCGTTTTCTTCGGTTGTTTGACGGTTTAGCATGTGTGTGGATTGTGTGTAGAGCGTGGAACCAGTTTACTGAGACTGTGGTTTGTTACACATTTCACACTTCGAAATGCAATGAGCAGCTAGTTTAGAATAGTGCAACTATTGCAATTATTGTATGCGCTCTCTTGAAGCTCCTGTTGGAGTACAATGTATGCAAGTCGCTATTAAGTGGATTGTTATTTTCCGCGCATGCGTTAAATTTTGGTGCAAAGAGGGCTAAAAATTCAGTATGTGGGATGCTTTAACAGAGGTAGAGAGTTACAAGTGTTTTCGAAAACGGTAGCGAGTTATGCACACTTGGCTGAGAGCACCTAGTACGAGTCTTCTGTGAACTGTGATATGCCAACATTTTTGGGAAACTATTTGAAAATATCAGTTCAACATTTTCCTTCGAGACCTATTTGTTATAATAGTGAGTTTATGGTATAAATTAAAGATCTAAGAATTTGTAATACAAATAATGTATACTACAAAATAAAAAATATACAACTTGATTTTTTTAATGTAAGACTGCTTAATCGCTTTACATATATACATATATATTTTTCTTATAATTTCGGTAAATATACATAAGTAGGCATTTTTCAAAGACCAATACTAAAAACCAAAAAATCGGTAACATGTTGCAAGCACATGCTCAGAAACCATAACAGTTTTTCCAGAGAATGTGAAAGTTCTTGTTCTAAGTTCTCTGGTTTTTCTTACATATGTGCCCAGGTACAAGAAATTAACTTCGAATATTGAACTAAGGCCCGCTAAGTTACTCTTTATAGCATTTATGCCACGTTAGAGCTATGATGTTGCGCAACATCTTGCTGTTGAATGCAAAATCAAGAGAGCGGCGGTACAGTAAATAGTATAACAGAGGTGTTGAAAATAAGTTCCACACTTGTTGCCGAACAACGACAAGGCGCTGTTAACTCAACACTAACTAAGGAGAGAGATTGAGTAAACGGTGATTACAATTGTGTAATGCAGTTAATTTAAGGAAAAGCTAGTAACTCAAACTTCGGCATGTCGACTTTTTTTTATGTATGTTATACATCTAATGTAATCAGATATTTATTGCATTTGATCGGAAAATAGACTGTAGAGTGTGTGTAAATTCCAAGCCGAGCATGTATTCTGAGTATTTGTGTTTATTTCCTTCAAAAAGAAGGTTCGCTAACACATGCAGGCAAAGAAAGTTATATAAGGAAACTCAGCAGTGTTTGAGAAACTCCAGTCGTGTAACGGTTTTAGATCTACAGTATCATTCTTACAGTTAAGCTTATAATTGTGCTTTGAGGCGTCGAGTATTTTAGACTATTTAAATGGGGTCTAGTTGCATAAAAACATTTGTTGAATTGTAATCCCATTATGCTAACTACTTATTTACAGAATTCTTACTGAGAAAAAGAGAGTCATAAGCTCTCCAAAAAATATAGAGTTTTCACGTAAAGAATCAGGCGGCCAGCATTTTTAGAACGCGCATGTTATGGTCGGGAAGATCCAGCTCAGTCGTTTTACTTGTAGCTTAAACCACTTGTAAACAAATTAAAAGTCACTGATATTTTATATAAATTTCAAAGGCCAAGGGTTAATTTTTACGAAGAAAATTCAGCGTATACTAGACTTTTATCAGGATGAGCTGCAGATGGATTTCTGAGAGACAGTGGAAACGAAAGAGTTAGGGTCTAATTGACTGTAGTAGTGCGTTTGTAAATTTCTGCGTATTTGCAAAATTATTGAGTCAACAACTTTCCTCTAAAATCGCACATTTCTATGACGTATCTCACGCTTGTGCACCCTCGGAGAAATTTTCCATAATGAAAAGGGAACTAATTGCCATTTAAATAGACGGACGTTGCTTCTGTAGCAACACAACTGCACTCATTAAGTTGGCATCATCTGCAGCATAGATTTACTAACCAGTAAATGGCAGAAAAGGATTTCTTAAAACATATTTAAATACCGCTTCATTAAAAACGGTATCAATTTGAGAAAAAAAAATCCACGACACAATTATCAAAGCAACCATTAAAAGCCAAAAACAAAAAATAATAATAATAAAGCGGATAAAAGTTGTACCTTCATACATTTGTATTTCTGTCATTATTGCATAGAACAGAGCCAACAACAACGCTAAGAGCTCTGTCCAGCAAAATGGAAAATAATATGAATTTATTAAACACGAACCAACAGCAGCACGGCGAACGGGAAGTGAAAATAGACAAGCCAAACGAAACGAAAAATCCCAACAGCGCGCAACAAATGAGAGCGCCAGCGCGAGAAACCCTTTTTTCAACGCCCTATTACTGAGCGCTGCACGATAAATGGACAAACCAAAGCTGAACCCGGTAAAGCAGAGCAAATGAAAAGCAATGAATTGCAGTTGAGCGTTCAGCTACGGTTCAGTGGAGTGAGCTGGTGCAGGTCAGCCGAATGGCTAGCGTCCAGGTGGGATCAGTGTCGAGGCAAGCGAAGCGAGTGGCGCGCCGGTCCGGCGGTGAGGCCGTGAGGCAGGAAGGTGTGTAGTAACTAAAGCAGAAATTAGGAAAAATCGGGCGGTTATGTAATAAAAGTAACACAGGTGCGCACAGCAACAGCAAATGATTACAACAACAATGAGCTACAATAACCATAACAATTAAATTAGACAAAACCAACAACAACAGCAGCGGTAAGCCAACGGCAGCGGTAAATAGGGGAGGACGCAGCGGAATGGAAGAAAGAGTCATAGAGTAAACGAGCGAACGCAATGAGCGTTGAAGCCAACGGTTTATCTTACATTTGTTTGTGTTTGCATTTAGGTATTGCATGGGCAAAAGGATTGATGAAGGGTCATAAAGTGGCAACAGCAGCCGCAGCCGCAGCAGCAGCAACAGCAACAGCGACGGCGGCAACAGTCGGTAATTAGGCTAAAACAACGAAATCGCTGAAAATAACAACACGAACGGGTCGCAGCGCTGGGAAACAAGTGAGTTCATTGATGGCGCAGCGTCAAGGCAACAGATAACGTGAACGAGCTGGGAAAATCTGATCGAAAGCAATGAAATGAAAATATTTGTCGAAGGAAATACCTTAAAAAAAAACGTCAATAAAATGGTATAAAAATCGAAACTACCAAAGCGGCAGAGTAAAAATTTAGCTGAGAACATGTAAACACGAAGGGTGGGTGAAGCTGGAATTTAATTTTATGTGAGCGCGAGCAGCAGGCAGCAACACGAGCACACTTCAGTATGCGGATACTTGTGTGCACTTGAAGGGTCGTGGCATTTCGGGCGCACAGCCTGCAGGTATGTGAAGACATTAAATGCAACAATTTTATTTGATTTTCACCGAAATTAGTGAATCATAAAAATCTACTTAATGTTAATTAAATCATGCCACAGTCGATAGCCGTGCTTAAAACCAGCGACAGCACAGCGCTTAAGTGGGCATGCCACAGTGTTCGCATTGGCATTTTGGGGATAAGGCGGTCCATTGTTCTATTTTAATAAAGCTGTAGCTTTTTTATACAAGCAACTGCATTAGGGTTGCCTGCTATCTAAGTATGTGTAGATAAATTCAGTGCAGCACTTGTTTCAACTGCATTTGCATGCCATGACTTGGCACTGACACAGGATAACCAAGTAATTGTTGCAAGTCATGCATGTTGTGTGTTGATGTAATGAGTGTATAAGCATGAATATATACTTTTGCTTAGCATTTTATGTGAAAATAGGTCAATGTCCTGCTGCAAATGTATTTATACACATAAAAGGGTAACATTTAATTACTGTTCAATCAGTGGCAACATACTGCGGCAGGTATTTACTGAAGTATGTAAACAGCGGTGGAAATTTTACATGGCTTAAACTATGTAGCCTTGATTAGAGCGGCATTTGTGGCATGTGAACTTAAGAATGTTGCAAGTGATTTTCATAAAACATTAAAAAATGTTAAAGAGATTGCAACTTACAGGTATAAGATCGCGAGCGCATCCTAAACGATATTTCAATGTAACCTGTGAGTTCAAGTCTATTCTTTATACTATATCTCTGAAAGCTGCTACAGTAGTCTGGCTCGTCATAGTGTGGTTCAAGTTCAAGTGTCGGGCTCAAGGCTTATATAAGCTCCAAAATTTTCTAAGTAAATGTCACTAATAATGCCAATCCCTGCTACGTCGCCACGAATCATAGTCAATATTTTAAATTCTGAAATTTGCCAAAAAAAATGCATCTTTTTAAAATTATATTGCAAAAGTATATGTATGTCTAACCGCGCAGATTTCCTAGTTCTCTTAGTTATTGCATTACTTACTAAAACCTAAACTATTATATGATCAAACAACAACAACAACTGACGGCATGCAATTTTTTAATACGCTTATGATATTCGTCTGCTTCGGCACTTAGCAGAGATTTGCATTTGAGTGCATTGGTGTGTACGTATTTTTGTGAGCGTATTTTTGTGACAAAACTCAAATTCGAACCAAAACTAAAAAAAAATATATATTAAAATTATTTTTCTGGCGGCCAGCGGATTTCTTGTCATTGCGCCAGCGAACTTATGTGTGCTTGTATGTACCCATATGTGTGCATATTTTTGAGCTTATCAGTCTATCAGCAAATGTGTCCAATGTCACTTGAACGCTTCCATCTATAAGCGCATTGTTTTTGGTCGAGTACTGCCAGCACAACCCGACTCAGTGCAGCAAACTCTTTGTTCTGCCTGAAATATCTGCCTCCGTTTGTTTGTTTGTCTTTGCGAGAACTCAACTGTCCATTTCATGTCCTAATTGGTCTGTAAAACGCCAGCCAATGCGCTGGTATTTGCTCTAAGCGGATTAAGTCGGTTCGATTGTTTTATATTTTTTGTTCTTTGTTTTTATTATTCTTTCTGTTTAGTTGTTTTTATTTTATTTTGTTCGACCAAATTTGTTACTTTCGACTGTTTCAGCGAGCGCCTCGATTTGCAACTGTTGCAAAAATGTGAAGGTTTTTTTTATATTTATTTTGTCTTAAATTTTTTATTTTTTCAATTGTTTGACTTGCTTGTTTTTGGATGGTTTGTTCTTTTGTTTACTTGCGATACAAATCAATTCGCCTGCGTCGCTGCGAAAGATTAAAATCGAACAAAAGTTTCATAGCCGCGTTTCCCCCCATCAGATCTACATATACATATGTGTGTGTATGTGAGTTCTTGCAACTTAGCTGAGATAAAAATCGTTAAACGTATTTAAGCAGAATAAATTGGTAGGGAAATATTTTGATTGCATCAAAAGGATTTTCAGTCAACGCAAGACCTTAAGTAACGTAAAAGTAAATATACGACGGATGTGAGTAGCTTAAGCCTATTTTAAGGTCATGATAAAGCTCAATGCGAATGCATAACAATCTAACAGAACCTTATCAACCCTCGGTTTTGAGTGGTAGGTGCAGAAAGTTTTTGAACTAACGTTTCTCAACAGTTTTGGTTGCGGCAAATAATTTAAAAAAGAAAAGTGTGAGTAAATTCTATATAACATGAGACAGTTAGCAATTGTTGGAGAGATGCTTCTTAAGTAGAAGAATATATGCAACTCTTTCAGTACTTTAAAAATTGACGAAGCTTCCAGCAATTATTAAAAAATATTTAATATTTTATACTGATGGAACAGCAACATTCAGGTATTCGGTTTTAAGCATTCTCTGTTGATATGTTCTAGGCTAAAAGGCTTACAAAGTACTATTCCAACTAACAATAAGTCCTAGCAAATACACAATATACAGGAAACCATTACATATTAAATGAAATCTCGTGCACTGTGTTCTCAGCTTTATGCGTATACTGCTATCAGAAAACCGGAAGCAAGTTTAATAAGAATTAGAGGGATAGCTCGTAATTAAGAGAAAAGAGAGCACTTTGAATGACGTTTCATAGTAAATGTTTTTCTCCAAAAAACTACTGTTACATATGTAAAGAAACAGTGCTTAAAACTCATCATATTGATATCAGAGAGATAGCAGAGGTTGTACCACATCTCTTGTGGATGGACTCAAGACATTTTGGTTAATGTTTTGGGTATGTAGCGTAACAATGCTAGACTCGTACCAAAAGTCCTGAATATTTTGCAAAAGCGAAGTCGAGTAGAGATCGCAAAAGAAATGCTTGACAACATAGCTGAGTACCCTACATGAGCTGAAACCGAGCCGCGGCTTTCAGCAAGTATGGCAAATTGTTTTAAGCAGCGGCATGCTTATATTGCCTCCGGAACATATTTTGTAGTCGATACCCAATATTTGTTTTAGAATACGTAAAAATGTAGTTTTTTTTATCAGCCCGGGTGCGATTTGATCACATGAATTCAGATATTATATATGTTCATATATCATATATAAAATATATTAGGTAAAGTAAAAAGTTCGTTCGGTTTTTATCTAAGAGATGGCGTTATTGTCCATAGTATTAGTGTTACGTGTCGCGTCATATCATACTATACGGCGCTGAAAACGTATTTATTCGCGCTAAAAGTTTGTCTTTGACAGTTTTTCGATTGATTGACTCAGTACGTTGTGAGCGCTCGTCAAAGATAAACATCAGCAAAGAGAAAATTCGCTATATTTTACAATTTTTCAATATTATATGCGCTTAAGCCTTTAGTACTCCGGTGCTGCAGCATATTAAAGCGAACACTTGTTCTTTGGTTTTTCATGACCTTTCGTAGTTAACTGTACACAAATTATAAGCAGATTATCCTAAATAAAACATTAGTATGCACACTGAAGTATTTAGTTTAAATCAATTAATTACCATGAAATTTTCAGCGCCGCAAACTATTGAAAAGAACGCTCATGCAAATGAGTTTGTTAATTAATTTATTTCATAAACATTTTCATATTAATAACTTTTCGATTATCTGCACGCACTTTGCAGGCAAAAACCATAATCTTAATGAACAGGTTGACTAATCTAGGCACTAACACTGCTGTTTGATTTAATTTAATTATCTCTATTTTTCCAACGCAACGGCAATGCCTGCAAGGCAACCAAGCTTGAACAAAAATTCAAATTCAATTTGGTAGCTGTCCACGAAGCTATAAAATGTCGTTAAGATAAGCGACACACCAACCCAATCATCATTATTCATTAGAAACAAATATTTTTATAAGCCATAAAAGAGACTACAAATTAACTCTTCTGCGAAGGGCGCCTGTGTGTGTGGTCCAAGCAAATGTGGAGAAAAAAAAAACAACAAAAATATTAATAAATGACAAAGGCAGTAGAAACCCAATTAACCACGTAAGTAAAGTATAAATCAATGTGAGGGCGAAGAAATGCTTAGAAGCAGCGTTCTTCCGTCCGAGAGGCAACGCCGCAACCACAAATTTCCGTCGAATAAAAAATGCGTTAACTAACAACAATGACTCAATTTTGAACTGAGTTCACTCATTTTCCGCTCCTAATAAGTTTTGTTGTTGTTTATATGCCATTTCTTATTGTTGTTGTCGTGTTTTTTGGACATGCGGCGCGTACTTAAGTTATTGTGATTGTTGTTGCTGGTTAAGCGACAACTTGTAGCTACAAGCTACATTTCAATTAAGTGCCAACGACAACGACAGTCACATTTCCAGCAACAACAACAACAACAACAACATGGTATAATACTTATATTTTTGGAACACAAAAGATTTGGCCACAATAAAAAGAGTTGTTGGCCCCAACAACAACACTCTTGCTGCTCGCAAAACACAAAGCGCGGCCAGCGGTCAGGGTGTGTGGATTCAATAAATGTGATCAATTCGGCAATAATTCAACGCGTGAACAAAAGACAGCTGCCACACACACACACAAACATACATATTCAAATAAACCATACATATTATATATATAAAGCAACTTATTGCTGTTGTCTTTTTTTGGCGCAAACAATAGCGCTGGTGTGTGAATAGGGTACGATGTTGCATGTCTATATGGCTCTTTTTCTTGGATCGTTGACAACCCGCTGTCAAGCACACACACGCACATACACACACCGCTGTCCTGCTCTGCTTCGACAACACAATTGTAGAAATTATGTTTTGAATAAATATAAATGAAATCGTAGCAGAAAGTAAAAACATGAAAAATATTCAAAAGTAATTGTTTGTGAACACCAAAAGATAAATATGCGATAGCAACGGGGCATGCCCCACAGTTGGGGCAGTAAGTGTTCGTAAATTCGGCTGGCAGGTATTGGCGCTCGCTGGAGGCACGTAAAATTGTAGTTCAACTAAATTCACGCTCAGTTTTATGTGTGGTTGTGGTGGCTCGGTATTTAAGTTGAAAATCTCAAACTGTGTGATAATTAATGTTAAATGGCTATCCGATTTCGGTGCCGCGGGCGGTGCACATACCAGAAATTCGAAAAAAATAATTGCAGCGCGATAACGTGTGGTCGAATTTATCGGTGTTGCCGTGTCGTATTTAATGCTTTTATGCAAATATGCGATTTGAAAATACGCTGGACGGTGATAGTTATTGCTACATATATAAACAAGCAAATAAGTATGAAAACAAATACATAAAAGCATAAAATTGAAAAATTTCATAAAATAAATCCAAAGAAAAAATTTTATGAATTTAAAAAAAATTTGAATTTAGAAATCAAATTTAATATAAATTAAGTTGTGAAACATTTTATGATGCGGGCGTAGCAACCCCACAAAAAAAACGAGCATATTCATTAAAAGTGGATCGACATAAAAATTTTATATATGCTATTCTATATACCTAGAAGGATTTATAATAAAAAGGATGAAATTTTATGAAGAGAAATTCAGTCTATTTTCCAAAAGAGTAATTTCTGACGAGGCTTGCGATGCAGCAGATCTCCGTTACCACGTTAGTCGCGCATATAACTGAAATAGAGTCGCATTTAATTGCGGACAAGGAGTGTTAACTCAGCAGCGCTGCCTAAAATTAACTAGCAAATGTTTTTTGGCGCTACAACAACAACAACAATAACAACTTTTCTATTAAGTGGTTATATTCACTTGTAATTTTCAAAAAATCGATTTTTTTTGCATTTTTCGAATGTACATGTTTTTGAGAATATTCTCCGAAAGTTGATCCTACAAACAGTTTCGGAGATATGAGCGCATTTGTAAGAATTTTTTAACTTGGTGTAATCGGCTGCCAAAACTTTAAACGCGTTTTTCTCGAGTCGGTGAGGAAAATTTCTCTGAAATGGAAGAATCGATCGGCTTGAAGATTTTACACGACATTCTTTAATATATATATGTATGTTTTTCAGGTAAGGATCAAAGGAATAAGATTTTTGAAAAAATTCGATTTTTTAAGCCACTTTGATTTGTAAATTTTTTCAATAAATGCACTTTTTTGTTTGGGTATACGCCATTTTCTCAATAATCAAAATTTTCACTATTCCTTACATCATTACTTGTATTCATCTATAATATTATAATACTAAATTTCATTGGTTTTTGTTTTCAGATAATTTGACGCTAAAATATCTTACTCACCGCCAGACACCTTTTTCCGAGGTCCTTCTGGAGATCGGCTATAGGAACAAGGGGATCCAATATTTTTAAAAACTAATCGCTGATTCTAAAAGTACATTAAATTCTCTTTATGTTAATTTTTTTTTAAGTCGTAAAATAAAATGCCGCTTCAAAAAAAATTCATATAAATACGGATATTGGATACAACCCCTTTAGTATAAATAGATTTAGTAACACCTAACTATTAACAAGATATATGTATATATTAACGTAAGTATTTCGTCAAACGATTCAATGCCTTTACATGCAAAACACCTGCTAACTTGCTTGCCACTACTCGTACACCGTTTGAACGTGCCACACCCGCATGCGCGCGTTTATAGTAACTCGCCAAGCGTGAAATATGTTTCCAGTAGTTTTTTAACCACGCCAATGCACCGAGTATTTGTAATTTGCTATTTATGGGTTCAGCATTTAATACAATAGCATTCTGTCCATAATTGGAAATACGAACAAATACGAGCAAATTGGTATGTGATCGCTGCTATTGATCTGCTGTTACGTGACCTTTGAACCAAACACTAAATTATCAGTTATGAGTATTCAATACGCACGACACTTGTGGCATGCAACAAGTCGCGCGACTGCTGCCGCTTCCCGCTCACTGCATACACACAATGTTATTTTGTTTAAAATTCCACAGAAGTTTCGCTTCACCGATCGCTGCGCTTTGATTACTGCTGGCCAGTCCGTATGCCAACCGAACGCTATCTCTCTCTCTCTCTCTCTCTCATATACGCACGCATGTTTGCACGTTGTGGCCTGGACTATGTTCAGGTAATCCGTTTGGCCGCAACGATCGCAGGATCAGATTAGGCGCGTTGACAACGTGTCGAAAACAATGCGTTTGTTGTGTTTCTCGCTGTGTTTTTGTGTTTCCAACGTTGTTTGTTACAAAATACTTTAATGCTTTGCCATTGCTGGGCCGCCATTAATCATTCCGCTGGTGTCATTAAGTGGCCATTAGGCTTGTTGCTGATCTTCAAATGAATTATGATCGTAGTAAAATTTTCATTAAATTTTTCTTCGAAATTTTCATTGCTTTTGGGGGAAGCAGAGTTTATGCGAAATTAGTGGAAAAGGCATGAAGATAATAGAGCGAAGTCAGATAAGCGTTGGATGCTGTGTTTTCTTGTTATAAAACCATCTATACTTTTCTAGAATGATTAATTATCTTGTAAGATAAGCCGATATTATGTGAGATTTCTTCTTCTAAAATATGGCTTCGAAATACGAGTTGTCGACATAAATTACAACTTTGGATTAAAAGTGTCAGGTTGGAGTTAAGCAATTGAAGTTTTTGTACAGGCTTTTAAAAATTATTACTTGAAACATAAATTTCATTTTGTGCTAACATAATTTGTTCAAAATTTATCTAATTTACTGAATTAAGTGACATTTCTACAAGCATATATGAGAGTCTTACGTTGACATTCGCTACGGCTTTAATACTCTCGACACACTACCGCTCTCACTGAGAGACCACTTGACGATATCACTATAGTCGGAGACCTTCGGGTTTCAGACTTCAAGTCGTTTTTTTTTATTCTTTTTGAATGTCTCTCAACCGGATATTACTAGTAATAGCTGTAAGAGTAATTTTCGGAGAAGAATTTTTAAATAGAGAGTCAATTAGACGAAATCCGATCACCAACGCTCGCTTGCAGCCTTTAATTACTCCAATATATTGGACGTTATAATACCCTTACACCTATAAAAGACAACTATGTCTCATACGAAAGTACAAAAATGACGTCTCAATTTGTAATTCGTACCGAGACGTTTGAAATTTATAGAATATACTCGTATTGTTGCTTGTTAAGTTGCTTGCTACTCTGTCGAGTAGCCTCAAAACATTATTTTACGAGTGCATGCGAATCAAAGGAAGGAAGCCGAAGGAATAAGAGTACGTACCAGTCAAATGCAATTCGGTTGTCTAACTGCCTGACTGACCGATGTAGAAAGCACGTATTGAAATAAACAGTTTGTGACAGTAACACGCGTGTGTGTGTGATGGCATGAAATGTAGGTAAAGTGCCCAGCAAGAAATTCGAGTAATGTCATTATTTATTCGAGAAACTTGCCATTAAGGCCGTTGATGCTATAAGAAACCCAATAAGCGTTGCGGTCATATATACATGTATTCGGGACTAAATTCCTGGAAAAATCTTTCTATAAATTTAGTAAGAAATAACTGCTGAAAATAAAGTCTTATGAAATAGACTATGTAGATATAATAATACATATCAACATTCGCTCGCTAGCATGTAAGGTATCAAGTCTGAAAGAAATAAGAAGTGCAAGCCGGGATCAATGACTGACTAAGTCATTATTATTCAAGCACACAAAATTTTAATAATTTTCTTCACAAAACATTTCACATAAATTATTAAGTCATTCAGAGTACTGTTATATGGAAGTTACGAACTCACTTAGCAACTTTTACGTACATACATATATACAGACGAGTAATATATGAGTACATATGTATATATACCACCGCAAAGCTGCATCTGTTCACCGACTTGCAAGACCAAGTTCAAATATTTAATTAACCACTTATCTAACATTACAGCTGAGGCGACACTAACAAATTAACACATCAGCAATTAAAACGGAAAACGCGCTGACAAATGCATACATATATACATACAATACATAGATATATTTGTAGAGAAATACACAAGAAATATGTGGGCTTATGCAATCTTAATTGCATAGCGGCAGGGGCAGGTCAAAAGGTCAAGATTAATGAATAACCAGATTAACGCAGCAAGCAGACAAAGGTGGTAGTCAAAAAGAAACGAAGAAATTAAAACATAAATAAAAAGCCAAACAATAATACAGACTACAAAAGTCATTGAAATATGGAGAAATAAGTGTGCGCAATTGAGACAAGCTAATTCAGACATCACATCGGGCAATTTAAAGCCGCTAATCTCCGAGCGGCGCGATCGTACAGCAAATGAAGTGTTTAAGCTGCCAATAAAAATCTTATCAATCTTCGATTAAGCACATAAAAGTTGGTTAGGTAGAAACAGGCGCAGCCAAAGTACAACTGCTTTCGATCGAGAAAAAGACGAGCATTATGAAGATGAGCAACGTTGTAGACTTGAAGAGTGAGCTGTAAAAGTGGCATTAAACAGATACAGCTTTTGAAGTGGGAAACATGAAGGTTTTGGGAGTTAAGCTCCAACGAAAGCATTTAGCGGCATGGATGACGAACAAGCGCTGAGTCTCTGAGTTTTCTGGGTTTAGCTACTTTTTCTTTATTTTTTTATAGTTTTGTTGTATAAATATCTTTACACTAGTTTTCATATCTACTTCAATCTATTTATTTGTTAATTTTCTTTGATTTCCTTCCATTCTTGTTGCTGCTACAGCGACCGCCATGCCTGCGCCACGCAGTCCAACTTCAATATTGCCGCTCGCTTTGTGTTTGTAACTTTTTAAGTGGATTTTTATTAAAATTACTTTTCTTCGCTTGTAATTCTTTTCGCTTTTGTCTAAGTTATGGCATTGCCTCGTGAACAGTCTGCTTCGGTGATTGTCTGCCACCAGCTACAAGCGACAACGTTCGGCACAACAGAGCAGAGCGGGTCAAAATTGTTTTCAAAATGTACAACAACAGCTATAACAATAAAGGCTATGCACAGAAAAATGAATAATAATAGCGCTTGTGTAGAACACTTAAAGGCTTTTAGACTCCACGTATCAAATTGACAAAGTCACCTAAACCACCACAAAAGCCGAAGGAGTGCGACTGCTAGTCAAATGCAAGTCGGCGGCAAAACTGAACGGCAAACTGACCGATGGAGCAAGTAAAACGTATTGAATGAAATAACATGTGACAGTAATAGGTGTGTGTTTGTGTGTGCGCGTGTGATTCTATGAAGTGTAGCTAAAGTACCCAGTAGGAAATTCGAATACTGTCATTAATTTTTCGAGTTACCGGCTATCAAGGTAGTTGGAGCTCACAAGCATATGCCACGTTACGTTTTGAAATCTTGTGAGTGTGAAACCGCTACTTTTTAAATATCCCAACGTTGCAATTTCTGATAAAAAAGGATTAGTATGAAAATATTTCAACCATTAGAACTTATTTTCCGTTGATAAAATATTTGACTAAACTCAATAATTTATGGATTGATAGGATAGATAAGGAGTAATAAATTTAAAAAAAAATAGAGAGAGAGAGAGAGAGATAGAGAGCAATATCAATCCAACGAATATCATTTCCTGCAGTGAATGTGATGAGTCGTGAGCAGCAGCTTAGTCAGCTGAGAAGCAAACGTTTGTCGCTTCTCAATATCTTCACACACTTTAAGCAAATCGCCTTGCAACGCCACTCTTATATGCCCCATTGCGGCTTTGAACCAATGCGCAGTCGCAGCTCTCCTTACCGTATTTTCACTGCGCCTTGTGTGCATGTGTACCAATATGTATACATTATACATATGTATGTATATGTATAAATGCGAGTTAGACTGCCTGTTCCACCATCCTTACCCAATCATTTATGCATCCGCTTAACAGCCACTTAAGTTCGATAAGCGTGTGTCAGAAGCGTTTACGAAAAGGTTAAAAACGTAGTACTCCATTCCTTCTACATTTCACGTCTTTTCTCCTGCCTGCATACGCTCTGAAGACGACGTAGTGGCTAGGTGCGGTAATGAAATGCCACTGCGTTTAAGATAAGGCGGTGGTTGCTGCGTTGGGGCACCTTCGTTGTGGCTACTGAATGTTGTATATCGCAAAGTTGCTACCATTGTGGTTGTAGCGGTGGTGTGTGCGTGTGTGTGTGCCACACTTAAAACGAGAAGCTGTCCGATTGCTGTTGGTGCTGCTGGTTAAAGCGCAGTCGAAATGCGATAAGCGAAACGCGTTCGGCAATTTGTGTGTCCGCAATGCGCCCCAATTGAAGTAGCGATGTTTGGGAGATGTAATAAAAAACAGAGTATATTATGTAGCATTGCTGGTTGTTTTGGAAACGGTAAATAGCTAATTATTATAACTAAAAAAATTTATTAAAATTTTAAAGCAATAAATATACAAGTAACTTTTTTTGAAGAAATTCTGAAAGCGCGATTTTATACAACTTCTAGGTTGATTTTTGAAAA